GGGATGACAATGGGTTTGGATTTTTAGGTCCTCAAAACTGGGAGGTGATGCTTTTATCTTCCGGTGATCTATTCAGATGGCAAGAGGCCCGTGCTTGGTGCCAGGGACTTTTGGAAAGCATTTCTAAAAACCAAAACACTCTTGTCAAGTCAATTCAAACTCATGGAGGCTCCATGTTATCAGAATCGAACTGGTCTGAGTGGTTTCCTGGGCTGCAAGCTCTACCAGTGGGCTCAAACATATGAACCATTATGACATTAGTGCAGAGCCGGTGAGGGTTCATTGTGCCCAGGGTTGCCAGGAGTCAGCTGACTGGGCAGCACCTAACTCCAGCCATCACCACCACCACCACCACCACCACCACCACCACCATCACTGGATTCCAGGCTGCCTTCGGGTGGGGGTGGGCAGCTGGGCTTTGGGAACTGAAGGGTTCCCATCATTGACTCACACGCCTCCACAGGCCTCTGTGCCAGAAATGCTTCTCACGAGATCGGTGCTGCCCCTGCTCTATTTTTGGCCCCAGACAGCAGGGAGGTCCAGAGAGTGACAATGGCAGCTTTGAGGCAGGCCCCACCCCCAACACTGCTCCCAGAGGGCCCTGGTCACTGAGTTGGCTCCTCAGGGGCAGTCTAGCGGGACCCGGCACGACAAACTCCCAGGCCCCATTTCAGTCAGGCCAGCCCCTAGGCTTCTCCTTCCCTATTCCTTTGTCAAAGCACCCCCAACTCCCCACCCATGTCTGGCCACATTCCCCAGCCACCTGGGGGGTTCTTGCTTTACCAGGGGGCCCAGAACCAGCTCCCCCCCCCCCAGCCTAACCCAGACTACCCCTCCTAGAACCCTTTGGCTAGACCTCATCCTGCAGGCTTTGTGGCCATTTGGACAGTATGAGTGGATCAGGGATTAAAATCTGACTGCTTGGTTTAGGAATCTGAGGTTGAAACTAGCAGCGCTGAGCGTCAGGAGCTCAGGTGGCAGCGCCATGCCCACGTCGCCTGCTTCGTCCAGCCCCACCCCCTTCACTCTGGCCTGGGCAGACTCTCAGCCTGACTCTTAGGCTTCAGATCCAAGTGGAACCTCCCTTCCTCAGGGCGGCCTGCCCTTGCCCACCTCCCAGGCCCGGGTGGAAGGTGAGGCCGTGGAGCTGCAGGGCCCCTGTGGAACCCCGGGCGCTGCCAACCCCAGCTCTGCTTTGGAGAAGTCACCTGATCACTCAGTGGCTCAGCTGCTTCCTCTGTAAAGTGGGGTGTTCACAGTGGTTGCCTTTGGGAGGAGGGGTCTCGATGAAGTGGTAGTGCGATCATGCCCATCAAAGGCACCTGAGAAGACTCTCAGAGACAGGGGCTACTGCTGTTGTGCTGGGCCCTCAGGGGAAAGAGGCACAGAAAGGAGGCGGCTACATCTGCCTTTGTCCCAGAAGCTCCCCCC